TTAGTGTAAGGCCTGTTAAAGATCTAACTGAAAGCAATTTTGTCCAATTGTACATGTTGTTTGTAAGTTTCACAAGTTTTATCCTACTCTCTTTGCAATTTATAAGATATGAGAATCAAGTCATATTGTGGTGCGCGCTATTTATAAGTAGTATATGACGCCAGTGAAAACGTAATGTGTGGCAGCAGAAGATGGGGGAAGATCAAGAAAGGAAGAGTGGGAACACAATGGAATTTGTATGAAACGCATGAATAGTGAAATGTCGGACAATGGATTGATGATTGATTGAAGATTTGCAAATTAACGGTTACGATATGGTTTTCCTATTTTACTGAGTAACTCTGTAATTTTCGTTAAATACAATTCGGTTGCCCTCACCTGTGTTCTCCTTCACTACAATACTATAGTGGACAGCCTAAAACAGATTTATTGTTTACGAAGCTTATCATATTAGTTGCATTCTAAAAGATCTGGATTGTGGCATTTCATATTTATTTGGATACTTATATATTTGATTGTTCACTGGGTAAGTAAGATAAGGGTACACACCTAAATACAATTTCACACCATTTAAAATTTAAATCCGGTTGACAGTATATTGTATACTCTACCTGTTAAGTCAGTTCACATTCTCTGCCCCTCTTCTCTTTTCACTCGACTTGTCTTTTGTATGTTGATTTACACTACTTATTAATATACAGTAAACAGTTCTATCTCTCATTAGGTCTAAGCGAGTGATGTAACGTAAGTCATGCTGTTGTGCTATCCTGAAGTATTTACATAAACGGATAGCATTTGACCATTCATTCATGAGCTAAATGAACGTAAAAGTGACAGTGTACGGGGCACAATGAACTTGGTGAATAAGTCAAGCAGAAATACTTTTCCGTTCTTTTGAACTTCTTAAAGTCAACAAGAGCTTTAATTGTTTGAACAAGACGTGATTGAACATGAACAGAGCAACATTAATTTGACCAACATACGTAAATTTCTCAAGCTTGTCAACCATTCTTTTTGGATGCATATATAAGATTGCAGCTTATAACAAGACTTCATTCACACAAGATTAATCAGGGTAAATAATTACAACTTTGAAAAATAATTCAAACTATCTTCTGTGATAAACCATTGTCATTTGAGAAACCACTGACGACTACTCATTAAAGGTTTTCTTAAAATATTTTGAATGTTCTTCGATTCATAACTGGATTGTAATCAAGACGGTGAAGGCTCCAAATCTAAATATTTCATGATTTAGAACAACGGAAACCGAAATTATGGGGAATTTTCCGAACTGACCAATTCTTCACTATCGATTGCTCTTTGATATGTCATTTGAATACACAATGTATATCCATCAACCTGAATCTTGGCTAAATGTTTTTCTGTCCCTTCCGTCATGGTATATAATTTAATAAACAATTTTATTTCATTAGTGTTAGCACTATTTTCACATTAGTTTTTCTTGCCTCTTTCCGTTTATATTCTTCATTATCTAAAGATTTACACACTGCTTATTACGTAATTCTAAAAATGCTTTGTGATCATTATTTTAAGTCTGTTTATTCAAGTTTGACCTACTACTTCCAATGTTCAACTATGGACGGACACTTTAGTTATTGTATATTTTTTCACTGGAGAGTTATGGAGATTGTTGTTTTACATTGAAATAATGAATCATTCATCGTATTTTATTATTCCTAGCACCAACAGTACACCTAACTTCAAACCATTAAATGTAGTTAGTTACATAATTTATTCCATTGTGATTAGTGACACATAAATTGCCTTGATCGGTTTAACGTTTTCAAGTAAATTTTCATGTGTATGAGAATAAAGCACAATGATGATCCAATTGAAATCAACAATGTTCGTTTATGTGTTGTTTTAATTTTCTGCATCAACCCAATAATCACATACAAGGCAGTGATTACCATTTACTTACTAGTGGTATTTGTAAATGTGTGGTGTCTTCTTAAGGTAATAACGAAGAATTGATGTAATGCAGAATATGGAAAATGTTGTTATTACAGCTCGAATCCTGGCATGATTTACGAGATTGTGTTGGTTCAGCTTTAATCCAAGACAGCTTTTAAAAAAGAAACCTTCGAGGTGTTTGCACGATGAAAATCCAAAACCTAAAAAATAATTTATTGCTAAAAAAAAATGCAGAGGATCTCTCAACTGATTTAATCTATGGGACTTTAGTGGTGAGATATACCAGATTGTCTATGTTCACCACTAAATGTTCCATACTGTCCCGTCAAAATAAATCCATGGTTGAGTATTTTATTGAAGGAGAAATCAGGCATTACATCGGGAACAGCAAGTAGAGAAAAATGGCTGCAACGCGAAGAGAACGTTGCGCTCAAGAAATGTTTTCGGTACAGTTAAACAAAACGAGTACAATTATGTTTATTTTTCACAAGTCGTATTTTCTTCGTAGAAGTGTATCCACTACAGGACCTTCCTGAGCTGCATACCATGCTTGTGAACAATTGTTTGAACTACACCTAGATATAACTTCTATTGATGAACTCCTTCTCATCAACCGACTAAGAATGTAATCACTGATGATTGACTTGTGAGATTTCTATATCAGTCTCCTTATCATATACAACTGTTTAAGGTTCACTGATTTCCACCATAGATTGGTGAACTGTGTTGTTTGTATGAACATGGTTTATTTGTATTAGAACAAAGTAAAGCTGATATGTCCAGGGCTTGTCTGTTGACATATGATGAACACGGTTTCCTTATCGTTCATCTGATATCACCACTCAAATGCAAACTATCGACGGTCATGTTCGTCACGATTCAAATACAGAAATAACACAAATGAGACAAATTAATTTTCACACACATAATACATCAAACATTATGTACATTGATTGACAGTTAGTTTTTGAATAAATTCAACTCTGTGGCACTATTAATGAATCAACAACTTACATGAAAGCACATTACAGAAATCGTAAGATAGAAATCCTACAACTAATACGGATAGATGAGTTACATCTTGATCTTTACTAGCTTTTATTGCCCTTTAATGAGTTTTTGGGTTAACCTGAGTCAAACAACAGCAATTTATTCTTATATAAATAAACAGACATTTACATTTATCATGACAAAAATCAGCTGATACAATTTGCGTAATAGTGTAATTCTCCGAAATTTCGCATCATCCAATGTTAGAAAGTTGACGTGAAGTTTTGAGATGCGTTTCCAGCGAATCACTAAGTGATGGAAAGAACAAATACAGACACCACATATAACTAACTATGATTCATCTGGCTGTACAATCAACAGGTTGAAATCTTATCGATAAGCGGATAAAGACTATGAAAACTGAGATTTCCTACTAGTTAGATATGATGACAATTATCACTCCAGTGATTTAAGAGGTCTGAATATTTTCAGGTCGCATTTTACGTAGAGTCGAATGTGAAAACTGCAAAACTAAATTGAAAAAAAACAATATAACGAGGGAGGAATTTTCCGATTAGCATCATCCCTCATTCTGTGATTTATAGAAGCAAAGAAGGTAGCAGAAAAACAAGAATGGTTTTCATTTACTTTTACTTTACTGCAAAAAGACTTGTAGTAAACAAATATATGCACACAAGGACAACTGAAATCTATTGAATCACAGTTTAACAGACAGTACAATAGAAAGTAGATCAAAATGATTGCAAAGTAAGAAGAGTGGAGGAAGAATGAGTATAAGGAGAAGTGAACACCTGAATGCACGTGTCGTCAATATAAACAATACGAATGAAGCAAAAAGGAAACGAATGAATGGACAGAACGAAATTTCATAGGAAACAAGAGTACAATCACAAACACACGATCCACAAATATCGGTGAAATGATAGTGCACAAATTAACATTTACACAGTGTGACAGACATGATAGACGATTCAAATATATATGTAAATACACATAGTACTTATAAAAGATAACAGTAGCACGAACACAAAGTTACAAAAGTGCAGAAATTGAAAAACATCTTTAGAATGATTCAGGAAGAGGAAAAAGTTAGACTAACTACACATTATTTATTAAACTCTTAAAAAAGAGGAAATTCATGAAAAATTGAAAATACGAATAAATACAAATGGAGTGTGATTTTCAGTCAACAAAACATTTCATTATATATTACTGATAAGATAAACAAAAGTCAACAAAACCTACCCACTATCTATAATCAAGAAAAGTGGTTAATTTCAAGTTGGTTTGATACAAAAACAAATTCTTCAGATGATATGAAAGAAAGACCAGAAGGTGGACAAAAATAAGCAAACAAACAATCACGACAGTGTACAACAAAATGAGATCAAACATTGAACGTAAACCTAAAAGAGAAATACCACGAGGCCAGCATCAGAACGACATGATGGATGGTCATTTTGTTATGTATATATTCTGTTAATTAAAAAGGAAAACTATGTAAGTGAAAAGCAGTATAGTAAAAAAAACGGACAGACTTACAGTGACATCAAAATCAAGACAATCATTAATATGTCAGGAAACAAATAAATTTGAACAAAAGAAAAACACCAAATAACAATCAATCATGCATATTTTCGTCATAGTTCAAAATAATAAAAGCTTGAAGTCATAAAGAAATAACAACAACATAGACAAATACAGGAAGAGAACAACTCTAGAAAAAGAATCACAGAAAAATTGGTCTTGTTCAAGGTCTACCGCTGAGTATCGGTGCAAAATTATCAGGGAAAAAAAGCACTGACCATAATTGACAAGGTTTGAAAAAATCAACTCCTATTAAAACTTTCGTCACAATTCCCAGCTGAAGAGGTGATATTTAACTAGCATATCTCCGGTTGTCTCTGTTGTGGCTGTCGTCATATTACTATCAGTTTCATTTAAATTCTCATCGTTCGGTATTAGAATCGACGATAAAGACAGAGATGGAGGATCGTTCATAGGATCGATAACAGACGAAGCAGTCATTAAACGTTGCAGGGGTTTAACTTTATGCAATTCTAATACATTGCCCATTGTAGATATTACTTTTGAGCCGGATTTATTGATACGACGCGGTAAACTATCAGATGATGAGGCAAATAATTTAGATCCCATGAAACCATTTTGTCGAATTTGATTAATATTTTGAAGACTGTTCAATTCATATGTTGGTGATAAATGAAAGGCGAACTGGCTAAGCACACTATTAGGAAGTTGTAAAACAAACAATACAATACAATATAAATAATGATTGAAAATAAATCTATCGCTAAGAGCTACTGAATAGAATCGCAAATATGAAGCAAATAGGTACATTTTATGTACAACGTTGAACTTAATGAATGGGCATGACTCGTTGTTTTGAATGGTTATTTAATTGAGATCGATTCAATGTTTAATTAGATGTAACTCATAATACAAAGATGAACGATATAACAGCTCAAAAACCACATATGTGTACATGTTATTAAGTGCTTAATACCTCTAAAATCTTTCAGGGGACAGCGACATATGATGATGTGAAATAGTGAGAACTTGATTATTGATCATCGTCATCGAGTTGTTCAGCTGAATCACATAGCAGCCGTATCATTCATCATAACACCAAGAAAACGAAGAAATATGTATGACGGGAGCAATCTGATAGGTTGACCTTTATATGAATATATATAGAAACACGAATAGTTTTATAGATTGTTTCCTATTAAAACTGTTACAAATTTTTATGATCTGAGGTACAGTTTAGACATTATATAAGTTCCTAACCTTTGGACTAACTTAGTTATGACACTAAAAGACAAATATCGAATGGGAAAGATGTATTCTAGGAAGGCAGAATAAAGTAGGTATGTATATGTTAGTTCCTAAGAAATGATTTCTATTCACAACTTTTACAAGAATACTTTGTTTTGTTTATTAGAAATAAGCATACTAGTGGTTAAATCACTTCTGTTTATAAATATAATGTATGAACTAAAGGAAAAATATGACTTATTTAGACATTCAATTCAAATGCGATTCTATTTTTCTCAGCACTGTTTCAATCATAGCTGTTATATCAAATATTCACCTAACTTCACATTGAGCATAGCTTATGCTTATAAAAATGTTGAAATTACAAATTCACACTTTAATTTCTTAAGATTTCATTTGATGAAATATAATTTATTATTGTATAGAAATGAAAACTTTGTTTTCGACTTGCACGTACATACCGTAATTCACATTTAATTTGAACCCATCCAGGACTGCGAAGATATGACCAAGGATGATACCATTTGCTAACTACTTTAACTGATGAACACAGAATTTCGAACCATAAATGTAGTAGTTGTTCACTTAAACAATTGTTAGAAAAAAAATCAAATCAACAATTTAATTAAATAGTATCATTATAACTGATCGAACAGGTATGTTTGTTTCGCTCGTTGTACAACCACCATCGCATACAGAACACAAGGTACTGATGATAAGAGGTTAATACAAAATGGGTGATTCAAAGCAAATGTCAGCGTCAACTTAACAGAGAGATGCACAATTAAAATATCTCTGAATTATTTGGCAATTGACTCTGATGACATTCGATATAATGCATCATGGCCATTATTTGAATTATTACTTCATACATGCTTATATATTTATAGCACATACGTTCTGGTATAATAGGACACTAAAAATGCACCATGCATACGAAGTGATACCATAGTGAACAAATGACAGGAATCGTTCAGTCAATAGATAAATGAACAAGAATAACATTTTCCAAAAAGTTCAGTTGAAAATACAGTTAGGAAAAACTGCTTTTCTTGTAGAAACAAAGTTATAGCAGGATTGAGACTAGCTTCTATAATGAGCCACATACGGAAACAGCTTAAAGCTATCAGGTTGAAAAGTCTTTACAAACCTAATCGATAGACCACGATAGAATTACAGATGTCAGTCCTATGCAAATATCGTTTATTTCATAACCCCACATAGCAAACTGACAAACACTCCTCTTTTTCAACCAGTTTAAACGACAGTAAATAAATTGGAAGTCATTGGGATAACATTCATAAAGCATGAATAACCTACTGAAGATGCTGTTTTACGAAATTGACGCTAATTAACTAGTTGAGGCTGAACAAAAATTGCCGAACCATGGTATCAAGACACACGACAAGTGTTGGCATTTAATAAGGTGAAGCTGTGAACAATGTAGTAAAAAGATCCGAATGAACACCAGTCAGGCACAGGTTTGGCATACTCTGGATCAAAAGGATTGGAAGGGATGGTGAACAGACCTGCAACCTGGTATGTATAACACTAATTACTTAAATTCTTTTGGGCGTCAGAAAACCAATCGTTTCATTCCAAGACCGCTGACATAGAATTTAATTAAAGGGTCATTCAGTCAGCTACAACATACAACTTCATACGGATGTAAACCAGTTGAAGTTGCCATACCACAAATGCACAGAGATCGAATTGTCAATTCAAATCTCATAGTAGGAGGGGTAGTAGATTTAGTATCAGTATTCGAAGAGGCTAAGGTCTGAAGATACTATTCCAGAAGTATAATTCAGTGAAATAAATTTAAAAAGAGAAAGATAGAGATGATGAGGAATTCAGAAGATTAGAATGCACCTGCGCTCATGCAAACGATTTTGAGCCATGTCGTTCAAAGTCTCTAACCATTGGTTATTATCATCTCACAGACCCCAACAAGGTAGTCTATACTTAACAACATGACTCAGTTCAGTTTTCAGTAACTCAATAGATTTGTTCCATACTGTGGTTTGGCCGCCCCTAGCTTTCTTCCAACCTAATCCTACACCACAAAACAAGGCAGTCGGTGGTTAGCCATTCGTAACACATCTCCAAATCACCTCAACTGATGACGTTTCATTACTTCATCTATTGATCTGCCATCCTTACCTGACCTAGCAGAAAAACAAGGACGAGATGTGGTAACTCATGGTTTTCAATGATTCAAGATAAAAACTATTGTTAAATTAGCAATCAGCGTAGACGACCAAATTGAAGGTAAAACAAAGGGAAAAACTAAACTATGAGGACGGTTTTCCTGTACAGAAATATACAGAAGTGAATGCTAAAAGGACATTCAAACACTGGAACGTTGCCAAAGTGAGAATCATTAATTATAGACGATTATTATTTTTGTCATTTTTAATATTTATGAGCAGAAATTTCTGCGCTCGTATTCAGTCAATCGGAAGTAAATAAAATTATCAATTTTATCTGTAGAGACAAAATGAAAAAATCAAAACTTAAAAATACAACTCACTTTAAACCCGAACAGATCAGGGAACGAAATTTGATATCCATATGAGCATTAGCCAAATCGTGAGACATGTTTATACTATGTATTGTCTATACAAATGTGTGTTTGTGTACAAATAGTACATAAACATTCGTAGGCGGATAAAACGTGTCGTGTAGGCGTTTTGGGAAAAACGCACGTGGTTCCGATAAGGTGAAAATAGCAACAGAGAAAAAACCGATAAATATAGGGACAAACTATGCCATGTGGTTTGAAACTGAAGTCAAAGTTTATCATAAGATACCCATAAATTATTCTCATCTCTGATGTAAGATATTGTAACTAATCCACGGTATGATGTAAAACATTGAAAAATATGATTGAGAGAAGATAGGAGAACGATCAAGATGGAATTTTGATTGGAAGTGATTATTCCGAAAAATAACATTGGGCTATAAAATATGTTTGTAATAAATTAATGCATACGTATGAAACCAAATCGGTCTGGAGCCCTTTTGGGGCTAATGCCAGTCTCAAGCCCGGAAAACTACGCATGAGTTTAGCAACCCCATAACTAAGAAAAGTAAGTCGCAGAAAGTGCTAACCAGAAAGAATGATTCAAACCCTCTTAACTCTGTCCTGGGAGTTAGAAGGTCGTCATTTAGAAGAGTTATGATGTCTCATGATGAAAGCGGAATTCCTCTGACAGTCACCTATTATCAAAACATGAGCATCAATTAATTTAGGTACATAGGATGCTCGTACATTTTGTGAAACTGGAATAACTATTGAAGTTGCTGCAGAAATGAAGAGGTACAACCTAGTGGTAGTTGGAATCAGCGGAACACGCTGTACATAGGTTGGACAAAAAAGACTAGCTTCAGGAGAGATGCTGTTATACTCCGGCCACGAAGAATAAAATGCCACACATACACAAGGGGTTGCACTGATGCTGTTCAAACAAGCACAAGAAGCACTGGTAGGATGGGAATCTCATGGAACCATCATCGTCCAAGCATCCTTCAAAACATAGAAACAGGGGATTACAGTGATTATTATTCTATGCTGTGAGCCTACGGACAGTGGCAATGAGGACGATAAAGATCAATTCCATGGGAGGCTGCAGTCAATAGTCAAGAAATGCACAGCAAACGATTTGACCATTCGGTCAGGGGACCCAAACGCACAGGTTGGAATGGACAACTCTGGATATGAAGAAATCATGGTGCGACATGGACTAGGAGAAAGGAAGGAAAACGGTGATAGATTAGCGAACCCATGTGCCTTCAACAAACTGGTCATAGGCGGCACCATATTCCAACATAAACGCATACATCAGGCCAAATGGATTTCACCAGATCACACTACACAATGAATAGTTCGGAATAATAGCGGAGAAAACCAAGGAACAACCTGAATACACAGAAGCAACTGAAGAAGAGCATCAGAGCTGACAAACTTAAACGTATGGAAGATGACACACACTCTGCATAGGATGACACTATGCAGAGCCTGAGAAGATAGTCAACATCATACACAATTCTTATGATGGATTAAACTGCGAAATCGTGTATGGAAGACAGCTCACACACTAATTTCAAGTGAACACTCGTGTCAAACAAGGTTGCTTACTCTCACCCTTTCTCTTTCTCTTGGTGGTCGACAGGATTATGAAGACGTTGACATCTGGAGGAAGCACGGAATACAGTGGACAGCGAGGATGCAGCTGGATGATCTAAGCTTCGCAGATGATCAAGCCCTTCTATCCCACACTCAACAACAAATTCAGGAGAAAACGACCAATATAGCAGCAGTGTCTGCACAAATAAGTCTCAACATACACTTGTGAAAAATCAGGATCCTCCCATACAACACAACATCCACCAACCAAATCACACTTAACGGAGAACCGTTGGAAGATGTAAAAACCTTTACATATTTGGGCAGCATAATTGATGGGTTCGGTGGATCAGGTACAGATGTGAATGCTGGCCAGTCACTGTCAGCAGCGACATACTATGAAGATAACAAGCCACATTGTAGCAGAGAAAGAAATCAGGAAAAGGCGCTGCTGGTAGATAGGACACAGATCGCGGAAAGCACCTATCTGCATCCCGAATCAAGCTTTTACTGGAAATTCTCATAGCCACAGAAAAAGAGGAAGACCAAAGAACACATTACTCCGAGTATTGGAAGCAGAAATGCAAAGAATGAACGGCAGTTGGGTAAAACTTGAAGGGGAGACCCAGGACAGAAAAGGTTGGAGAATGCTGGTCGGCGGCCTATGTTCCATGACGGGTAACGGGCGAAATTAAGTAAGTAAGTAACATATGCGAATAGTATCTTGAAATAAATAGGTTAACTTGCGGGAAACATAGATAATTATAAAATAATTCAATTAAACACAAACCCTAAAACGAAATATCCTCTTACAACTAGACTGGAATATTACTGACTAATGTCCTCATAAGATTGAAATTATATTGACGGATGAAATTTCCGTTTGTAAGTTAACTGTGAACTAAACATGTTGTGACTAATGAAATTAAGATTAGATCAATGATGAGTACAGCTAACATTATGATAGAACACACTTGTACTGAAATATGAACTCTGAATGGTTTAATTTTCCGTTTATTTCTATGATCATACACCTGTCTAACAACACCACTATATAATACAATTTTAGGATCAAAAAAATAATGAACAATAATTAATTTTCTGTACATAAAAACAAGCATGACAACTCACCCTATACAATACTTCTTCCGGACTAAGGACTTTACCTTCTTCGTCCAATCGGAAGGTTTTACATAATACTAAACGCGAGTAGACAGAAGAGAAATCTCTTTCTACTTCCTTAGCTGAAGCTTCTTCAATAAAATGCCAAGGATGACATCCAGCATCACCGAGAAGACGTGGTCGCTTCAGTCCATGTGAAAATACAGCTCCAAGTGAATGACACAGGCTAAAATAAAAAGAAGTGTCTGTGCAATTAAAGTAACAGAAAAGCTAAAACAGCCGAGAAGGTGGGCATGTTAACTGAAGAAGCACAAAGTACTTAAAACGTATCACTTTCTGCTGATAGAAAATGGAAATGAAAAAGACTACGTAATGAGAATAGGATTTCAAAAGGCTGAGTGGAAAGGTGTGTGTTGCGTAGACGAAAGTAGATAGCGATCAGTTGTTGTTTACAGACCACTGAGTAGATAGTCTGACAAGTGTCTCATCGAGAAAAAGATAAAGGGTGAATGCAACTCTTCTACATCACTCAGAGTTTCCAGTCAATGATCGAAGAGACTTCAATCAGGTAGTTTGCATCTGCCAATATGGTTCAGACCGACAATCAATGACTTAACATACTGATGCTATTTTGGGTTGGATGCCATTAACTTTCTTCCGACCAGCATCGAAACCAGCAAACATCACCGATCGATTTTAGGGGAGATTAGGTATACTTCACGCATATTATAACCAACTCAGTCGATGAAGATTTTTGATTCCAATCGATTTGTCATCTTTACCAAGAACCTTATACCTTACTCCAAACATTGCTCAATCAGTCATTTGGTGGAACGTAAACACGTAAGTATGGGTGCGAATGAAACGAAGATTATTTAAGGTGTAAAAAGGAATGAATAGAGAGAAATTGTAAATGAAGTAATAACAATAGGCATTATAGTACACTCTACAGTGGATGGTAAGTTTGTTTTAATTTTTACTATTTCGTTCTGAAAACAGAGAGAAAGCAACAATTCATTCTTTATCCCAATGAAAATGGACAATCGCAAATAATTAATGACCTTGACTTGATTGAGAAAAGAAAAAAGAGGAAGTAATTAAACATGTTAGATTAAAAATAAATGGGTAGAATAAAATGAATATTTTTAAATCACATTCTATTAACTCTAAGTTATCTGTGTAGAGATTGAGTGATTTACAAGAAACCAATAATCTAAATCGAATTGTATTAATAGCAGTTATATTAGATGGTAAACACGTATACAAATCAAAAATGATGGAAAGTTTAGATAGTTGAACTTTGATCAATGTAACTAGGAAATCATTGAATAGATACAGTAATAAAAATGCACGATTTCTGATGAAAATATAGTGTAAACATAATTACCTTCCACGAATAAGGCCAACAATCAATTTGTCTACACCATCATCACCAGCTGGAGAATAATTTTTTCCCCGTTCATCTAACAATTCAACAAACTTGGCAGGAAACCAACCTCGCCGACCATTTAATTCACCAATCCAACAATGTTCGTCATCTGAATTAATAACCGTTAAGATATCATTCTTATGAAATTCCAGTTCATCAACTTCAAAGCGTTCAAAATCAATCAATGCTTTAGCACGTCGTCTACGATGTTGTACAACCTATGGTTAAGTATTGAAAAACATGTTTAAGAAATTAGAAGTGTTGAAAGTCATTTTACTTATTGTGTTTTTTCTATGGAATGGATGGTGGAGGTCAATGGAATCCCAGACGAAACAAAGCATTGTAGTCCATCACACAGTTATTAACTCTTAATGAAAAGTTTGTAGAACAATGATTTGATAATCAGGAGCGAAATTCTGTAAACAACGAGACAGAATTCAGTATTTGTTTAGTGTTGTTATTTTTTGCACAATTTATATTTTACAAGCAAGTAAATCTAATAGTATACTAGATGTACTTTTTTCCAAACAATAATTAGAGGTTTTTAAAATTTTATTCAATGATGTAAAACATAAAGATAAAACTGATAATTTTATTGAAAAGTTGGTAAATTGTCTTTAATTAATCGAAATGATGCAAAAACCGAGTGTAGAAGTCATCTTTATTGCAGTGATAGTTGATTAGAATAACAAGTTAAACACTAAAGAACAACAGTGAAATGCCTCTTAGCAAATGAGTTCAAAACTCGTAGCACAAACAAAATGACTGAGCTAATCATTTTAATTAATCAAATTACTACACTTTCAAATGTCGTTCATATAGTGGTTTACTTACAGAAGTATACTGTTCGAAGGTTCTGTAATAAGAGATCAAGAGAGTTAGCAATGGAACAAAATACATCATGGTAAAAACCACACAAGCCACGGATACCAATGAATTATCGTACAGACATATAGGTTTACCCTAACACCATAGGTTTATTACTTGATAGCAGTTTCTTTGAATGGTTGGACAGTTGAAAACTCTGAGAGAGCTTCATCAATAAATCTGTATACACAAGAGCCAAATGTTGGGAAAAATGCAGTGGTTTTGAACTATATACCATTAAAGTTGGGACGTTTAGCCATGAGAAATTCCTTTTGTGCAACTTTTAATGTTAATGAAATGTTTGAAATATTTTGGAAATAATAGGTAGAGTAGGAAGCATAAAGACATGTTTTGATAGAACAGTG